ATCGATTTTCACATTCAAATGATGTTTGGCAACGTGGTTCAATAGATTAGAAATTGTCTCGCTGGGACGTGCCGGATCGAAATAGGTTTGCTTGGGATAACCTTGAGATTTTAACAGACCGTTGAACATGATCTGCGCCGTCTGGAAATATCTGTGGAAAGTGCCAAAGAAAAACAAAATTGATGAACGTTGCCCATAATGACGCAGCATTGTCAGAGTGAAAGGGCAGCTAGAAAGTGGAAGTTATTTCTGTTGTCGTTGTCTAATAATGATTGGCGCGGCGCAGCTTATGCCAAAAGTGTCTCCATATACCTACATACACACATACATACATACATACATATATTTGTGTTTATACAGCGCGACCCAAATAGCCAAGACACTCGGCTCATGTACTTTGCCTTTGGCCCACTTCCTGATCAAACCGGTTTACGCTACACACACACACTCACACACACATACGAAAATGAACCGTTCTGGCTTTGGTTTTGTTTGTGTATTTCGATGATGCGCCATCGTCTTTGTAACTGTAACACACACACACACACGCAAACACGCAAGCGCACACCCAAAGCCAAGCCAAATCCAAAAACCCGAACTCAAACCCAGGAATTGGAGTTGGACTTGTACTGTTCTTTTTTGTTGTTTTTTTTTTTCAATTTGGTGTTGACCAGTAAGATTAACAGTCGTGTTCTAAAAGCCGTCAGCATTAAAAGTGTGTCAAAAGGTAAGCAAGAGAGCTTCAAACATGTTCGATGCCAAACAGGTTGCAGTTAACGGTAACTCGTCCGACAGCAACAACAACAACAACACGAACAACGCTTACTGGCAGCTGTTTGAGCCAGTTGCGCTGCCTCCATGTACACGCATTCGTATTGCATTTAAACGTAACGCTCAGAATTCGAATCGTATCACAGCAGGGTGCTAAACGGCTTAAAACCGTTGAGAAAGCAGAACGTGTTCCACAATTAACACGCATCGATCACCCTCACGATTAATGCTTTCAAGTATATGTATGCACCTGACTCACCTGAGATAGTTTTCAGGATTGGCCAAATAACTGGCCCAGTCAGCCAAATACAATGTGGCCGATTTGATCCAGCGACGACGGAAGGATTGATTGTTCAGAGACTCGAACAATTTGTCATAATCCAACTTGCCATCACGGCCCTTAAAGCCCTACATAAATGAATGTTATTGTTATATAAGTTGATAACTCGAATATGAGAGCATATTTATAAATATTATATTAATCCAATTTCTTAGCGACAATGAATAGTCAAATGCTTGATAAATCTCGTGATATACCTTCATGATCTTGTTGACGCCCGACTTTTCGTATAGCGCATCGGCGAGCTCCGAGTTGGAGAAGTGATCCCACAGCACGTGCACATGCTCCAGGAATGGTGGCAACACCCAGGCATGACTCTTATGGCGTTCCTGTGTGCTCTGGCCCTCGGGACCAGCAAACGAGCTAACTGCCTGCATAGCCAGCGGCAACAAGTTCATGAAACCATTTTCTGGCTCTGGCTCTTCGGATGCGGATCTCTTCTGTTGATGATGGGTATGTGCAGCTGGCTTGTCGGCACCGCCCTGTGTGTTCATAAAAACGGAGGCCACTTGCAGAATGGTGTCCAGGCCAATGCCAGAGCCGCCATCAGAGCTGCCGCCGCTGTTGCTGCGCTTTTGTGTGGCGCCAGAATCCTCGTCATCGGTTTGTGTGAACATTTCCAGGACATTGCCAATAATGGACGGATCAAACCCACCGCCGCCACCACCCCCATTGCCACCACGTGCATTGTTGGCCAGCAGACTGCCCAGACCTGATAGGATTTGCATGGCACCGCCGCCGCCGCCGCCGCCGCCGCCACCAGCTTTTCCATTCGCTTGCATGAAGCTGCCGATCATGGAGGCGACACCTGCCAGTCCGGCGCCCGCACCGCTCCCGCCAGCAGCAGCACCACCACCGCCTCCGTTCTGATTTGACAATGCCTCCTGTATGAACATGGAGGCCATGTCCAGGAATGGATTGGAGTCATCCTCATTGGCCATATGGCCATAGGGCTGTGCGCTGATCAGTGCCAGCACAAACAGAGCTCGCTTCATGTACATTTTTGGGCAGGAACTTTCACAATCACACACTTGAGATACTTTTTTTCTTTTTAGCTATTTTTTCTATACTGTTGTTGGGCCAATTAAACAACGCCGCCGACGACGACGACGACAACAACAACAATAACAACAACAGCGCGACCGACGCTTCACTGCGCAAATGGCTTGAAAATTGCAAGCCAAAGACGAAAATCTGTTGTTATTCCACCAGACTGAGAAATACTTATGTACATGTACATATACTATATAGTATGTACTTAGATGCCTGCAACGCAGCAAACACAGCCAGCTCAGGCGAAAACTTTCTTTCTTCTGTGACTGCGAGTCTGTTTGTAACACTTCTTAAGTCGCTCGTCTGTCTGGGCCTGGCCAACATGTTGCATCTGGCCCTGCTTGTGAGCTTGTCTGAAGCCTCTCGCAAGCTCAGCTGTGTTCGCTTCTAGCGCTCGCTGAACATCTCTCTTGCACTTGCTCTTTCTCTCGCTCTCTCTTGTTCTCACCGCCTGTTGTCATTCTTCACGGCTGCGCCTTGCGGGTTGTCCACGTCAGTTTGCTGCCAGCATACAAATTCATTTGTGTACGTGTGCGTGCGTGTGTGTGTGTGTACACATATATAAATACTTTTGTGCTGTTCTATGGCGCTGTTGCTGGACTTAACTTTGTTTATATTTTCTACCCACTTTCTTTTTACACACGCTCGTTCTGTCGCTTTGAAGTCGTTCTTCTTGCCATGACTTCAGCTTTATCTCATTTTTTGGTTCTTTTTGCAAGCTTTAATCTACGTCCATATGCATACATACATACATACATAAATATATACTCTTGCAGAGAGTTATTGCGTTACGACAATGTTCGTAACATGAAAATAAAAGAAATTTATTGGTTGCTATTAAATCTCCTTTGGGCTGTTAATGTATTTAATCTAACCGTTATAAAAAAAGAGTTAAGTAAAGTTCATTTAATTTTGTGTTGTAGTCTATAAGAATTTAGTCGTGTCCGTAGGATTTTCTCTTTAAAAATGTCGCAACTATAATTTTTCAATGCAAATGTATAACTCAAACGAATGGATGTCATATTGTATTTCGACTGTAATTCTCTCTGCCTTCTTTCGATGTGTGTCATGGCCCATTTTCAGTTAAATTCGATAAGAATAGATTATTTTGTGCGCCAATTACATAAATTTATGAAATGTTCATTTCGCGCCGCCGAAAGTCCAATGAACATGTTGGTCCAAACAGAAAAGATGGAGTTAAAAGTTTACTAAAACGACTTGGTGGACGGAGCTTCTTTAGTTTACCGTAGATCCAACCAATCGTACTCTACCATGAATAATAATATTTAAACGCATTCTTTAGTAAAAAAGTGTGATTTTGATTCTACTCACTTCGATGCCGTCGCCTGCCAATGAGGAGCAGCCGAGTATCGCCCAAACACGACCCTCCAAACGGTTCAAGCCCAACAACTCGGATATCATGGAACTGGGCAAAGCACCAACCGCGTCCTGTTTGTTCGCCAAAAGCAGCAGCGGAACCTGTGCCATCCGCTCGTCCAGCAGAACATCACAGAGCTCGCAACGTGCTTCACTCAAACGGGACGCGTCCGTGCTATCAACAACAAAGATCTACGGATCAATTGGTTAGCCGAGAGTGCGTGTTAAGATTAAGATATGTATGGGCAATACCAAAATGTTGGCTTCCTGATAAAATGTATGCCACGACTGACGCATCCTCCATTGACCACTCAAGTCACGCAAGCATACCTTTATCCTTTTAAACTTTAAATGTCGCTCGGTTAGGTCGACCGTAGGAGAAATGCGCTTTAACTTTTTGGAATATACATATTTATATAAATATATGACTAATGTCTAATAAGATTGTTGGTACTCTTACGGCGTCGCCGGTTTCCAAGCCAAGGCGGGCCGCCAAAGTACTCTTGCCTGCATTGTTTAGGCCCAGAATAAGCACATTAAACTCCTCCGAGGGCGTCCCCTTTAGTTTGCCCAGGAACGAAGTGACACCCTTGTAAAGATGGGACATTTATTGCAATTGTTTTTGTTGATGTTATTAAAAAGTGTGAGCTATACACAAGCTACTACTTAGATTTGGATAATGGCTAAGAATTGTAGAGATATGTCATTTTCGATATGTCGATCTGGTATGCTTATGCTATATTCAAGTCACAAACAAATCAATTCAAGAATATTTTCATAACATTATGGTTTCTATAATTATATAAGGGCACTTCCTTTTACAGTTTTTAAGTAAGTACTGTAGGTTAATAGAACTATAAACTACTTTTTCATATTTTTGCACACCCAGTCCATGCCCTCTTTGATGCCAGTGCCGTCTACAGCTGTGCAGGCCTTAACTTCCCAGGTGCGCTCCTCCAGACGCACTAGACCCAGAGCCTCGGCCACTTCGGAGGCGCTCATGGCACTGGGCAAGTCCTGCTTGTTGGCAAAGACCAGCAGCGGTACTCTCTTTAAACGATTGTCCATAAGCATCTCAAAGAGTTCACTGCCCGCTTCTGATAGGCGCTTCCGATCCGTGCAGTCTATAACGTAGATCTATCATGGTAGCAAATGATGAATGCTTGAATCCTTTCAACACATCGTAAGATATTACCAAAACATCTGTATTGGCAAAGTAGTTCTTCCAATAGGGCCTTATTTTCCATTGACCGCCAATATCCCATACATTCAATTTGAACCCATCTGCTGCTACGGATTTGATGTTAAAGCCCGCGGTGGGCGTCACCTGCGGAGCATTGGAACGACTATTAGGAAAGCAAAGACGCATCTGTTCCAAAATACTCACCGTTGTTATATCCTCGGAAGCCAGTTGTTTGAGAATCGTTGTCTTGCCGGCATTGTCCAAGCCGAGCAGCAAAATGCGGGCCTCCTTTTCCGGATTGGGGCGCAGTTTGCGCAACAGCGAAAGTAGACCCTAAAAACAAAAAAGAAAATAAGTTAATTTGAAAGCGCAGTTAATTTTCGCGCAGTATGTTTATCGATATTATGGCAAGTGCTATCGAGCTTTCGGCTGGTCACACTTTAGGAACAGCTGTTGCACGAGTATAAAGTATCGATACTATCACGCCAACAAGTTACCATGACAACAGAGTTAAATAAACAAATATATTATTGGATAATAAGAGCAATTTAGAAAGGAAAAAAACTATAACTAAGTGCTACCGCGTGACGGATAATCTGGGCACTCAGCAAACAACCTACCATTTGGTAAAACAATTACAATAACTTATTTGAAGTTTGATCACTTAAAAAGCACTAACTCTAGCAATTGTATTTAAACTCAATTCAAACAACCGAATTTATAACAACCACCAGCGACAACATTACAGGTGCAATGCTAGCTAGCAACTAAACATCGGTCGACCAAACAATAGAGCAACAGCCGCAGGTAGCGGCGCCCAGCCCCTACTACTGTGCGCGTCGCTGCGCAAACGCTGTCGACGAAGCGGAAGATGCGACAGTTACTATTTACGGGGTTCAATGCATTTGGGCAGCACAATGGAAGCAACACTGACCGCATTTCCGGTCGCGTCACTGCCTTAACCGGTTCGTAGCTGCAACCAAAAAACATGCTCACAGTTGATACTGAAATCCTTAAATTTGTAGAAATAAGCGTTCCCGGGGATGGTGCGGGTAACGCTATAATTGCGTTGAGCTGGCGTTATACCGCATATGCTGTGGGCACTAAGCTATGGCTGCGCGGACTCTTCGATTTGGTGCCTGGGGAATGCCTGGAAGTGGAGGCACCTGCAAGTATTAAAGCGTTAGCCGCTTGCGATTCGCATTGCCTGGTGCTGCTGCAGAATGGCGAGCTGTACAAGCTGCAAGCCAAGCTGAAGGCAACATTGCAACACATCAAATTGGAAACAATCCCCACAACAAGTGCAGCCACAAAGCGAACTATTTTTGGTACATCTAAGCTAGCTAGGGACGCCTCAAACGACGTCACACACATAGCCTGTGGCACGCATATAAATGTGGCCATAAGCGCTAACAACGCCGTGTACAGCATACCCAGCTGTTTGCATCAGTTCCCGCAACGTCAATGGCGGGTGCAACAGTTGGAGTGCGGACACGAGCATGCCCTGTTGCTCAACGGCAATGGCGATGTCTACAGCTGGGGCAATGGACTGTAGGTTTAGTGAGTCGTTTATTTGAACAAAATTTTGTGACTTTTTATGCAAATATTTCACAGTCGTGGACAACTAGGCCACGAAACACTAGCTGTGGTGGAGACGCCACTGTTGCTGGAAGCGCTGGCGGGCATTAAGGTAAGCAATGACTAACAAATTTCATTATCTAGCTTGTCAAGTAATTCATCCGTCCACACACATTGTAGATAACACACATTGCCGCTGGTGGCTGGCATAGCGTAGCCATCTCTGCATTTGGGGATCTCTATACGTGGGGCTTGAATTGCAAAGGTCAACAGGGTATGCGCGTTATGAAACCCGATGGTTTGCTTAAAGAGCCCACGGTTTATCCATTGCCCCAGCTGCATGATTTGCCAGACTGTTGTGGGGAAGAGAATGTGGTATGCGCACCTCTAAGGGTATTTGCAGGTTCGCGTCACACATTGCTCCTGCGCAGCTGTGGGAGACTCTGGGCCAGTGGCTGGTGTGCCCACGGCCAGCTGGGCAAGCAGCCCACTACATTGGAATATTTGGACATATTTCAAGCTGTACGAGATACGCCTAAGGGTAATAATTATACTGTGTTTTGTGGTCCTTGGTCCAGCTTGATTGCCTTGTGTGAGTAAATATGTTTAAGATTCTTTATTTTTAAACTATTTACATTTTAGTAGAACTATTTAAAAATTTTGTTGTAAACAGCCTCGTTTCTTTTATATGTTTCGAAATTGTAACGGCTTTACGCTAACGGCTCTTAAGGCTGACTGCTATGGTACTTAAATTGCGCCATGGTACTAACTGCTATGTTACTCACATTCCATATAAAGCCTTATCATGCTGTCTTTGCTAAAGCTTTAGCAAAGATTCACACCAGGTAGATGCAGTTCATTTCGATTTTCGCAGAATTTTAGTGAATAAAAAGTTATTGTTTTTATTAAAAAATATGTTGCTAGTCCAGCCTCGGCCTTTGACATAGCCTTCTTTCTTAGTTGCATTGTAAACACACTAGCATTGTAAATGAATCACTTAGTATTCGTTTTGTTTCGGCTTCACTTTTCAAAGCAGCATTTTTCACAGCTTGACGTAAGCATTTCCAAAATTTTTATTTTATAACCCAAAATACCCAAAACACCCAAAACCCAAAACCCAAAAAATAAACATAAAACCATTCATGCTGGTGACCTGCAGCTAAACATGGCGTAAGTGATTCTCCATACCGTCTGCCGCATTCGATATCCATTCCAATCTGCCAACAGTCCCAGCATATTCTTTGTTCTGTTCTGGCGGATTGGGGTCCATCTGCTTTATCCCTATAGATATACGAATCGCTCGATTCAGGATGCGCTTGGCGATGACTATATACTGTGGGTCTCCAGCGATCGATTGCAAAACGAACAATTGATCATGATGCTGCTGCGTCAGTCGATCGAAAATTTTCTGATATTCATATTGATTATGGAAATTATGCGCTCGATTCATGAAGGACGCGAACTGCCCTTTCTGTTACAATGAGGGATCTGTGTGTGCAAAAGCAGGATTTGTTCATACTGTAATATATACATCTTCATTTTTTTTTTTTGTATATTTTTGACAACTTTTTGCCTGTCTATCAAAAGTAAACACGCCTCGAGTGTGGGGCACACAGCATTTTTTGTCTTGGGATAGGTCCGAGGCCGATGTCCCATTGCCGGCGCTGTCGTCGTTGTCGTTGCAGTCGCGCGTGTAATCAGTAAATTTTATTTTTAAAAATGTTATTAAACAATATTTGCTTTAGCAAAAGTCAGACACGCAGTGCAATAAACTTTTCAGCACTTGTAGATCGTCCGACGCGACGCGACGCGACGACTGACGACTCGTCACTTTGGTGGGACTCTCATTGTTTGAACTGTCTGGGTGTGTGTGTGTGTGTGTGTGTGCATGTGCATAGGGTGGGAAGTAGGGGTTTGGGGGTATTTCTTGGAACCGTGTGATAATTTTGTTATTGGAATTGCATGGCTTTTTGATTGGGTATTACAAATGAATACATATACATATATAGAATAAATATATACGAAGTTTCTTTCGGTTAATATTATTGATAAATTAAAGGGTAAGTCCATTGAGCTCTGCTCCATATATATTAATGCACGTATCTAGAGTGGAGCAGAGCTCCATGAACCGAAAATAGATCATGTTTCGAACCAACTCTCCCGCCTTTGTGCGCCTCGTGAGCCTGGCCTTCTTTTATGTTTAGATTTTCGGCCACATTTACAAGTCTTACTAAAAAATTAAATTTCTAGCTTTTATTTAGTAAAACTAAGGCTTTACATATTTTTATAAATCTTAAGATGGCATGACTTTCATGCCAACCAATTGTTATTCTTGCTTCGGGACAATATTCCCTTAAATATCTTTATATATCTTTTAAACCCAATTGAGTTGGCTTTAAGTTCGCTCCAAAGTTTTAACTTGGTTTGAGCAATTGGGTTCGGTCCGTTCTCATCTTTTAAGTTGATATCTGCCATAGTTAAGCCCCTTTTTCTTTTATTCCATTTGAATGTAGCGCTTTGGATGTTCGTTTTAGCCCATCCTTTACTATCTATATGCCTATCTCTCTGCGGTGTTCCACCGAGTTCGTTTTTATGTTATTTGCCAAATGAAAAAGTAAAAACAAATGTTTATCTTATAACGCACTGTGCGATTCGCTGTGTTTCAGTGCAGTTCTAGCGGCCAGACAGAATGCGGTTCGCAAATAAGCTTTGCTTTTGGGCTTTACTCTTTTATGAGCGCCATTTTTGAGCAAACTTTGTTATCGACAAAAAAAAAAAAGAAACGAAAAATTAAATAAAAGGCTGGCAGTGTCATTTTTAGGCCGCAAAACTATTTGCTACCAGCAATTGACGACAGACAACATGCCGAGAAGGAGGGCGGGTTACTGCTGGAGAGAGTGGGCGAGGGGGAGTGGGAGGGGGGGGGGGGGGGGTGTTGGCGTGGCCAGTTCAAGCGCCTGGCTCAAGGCGAAATATTGTTGAGTTTCCGTTTCTGGAGCTTATCAGAGCCACTCGAAGTATCCGAGAAGCCAAGTGCAGAAAGTGCTAATTGTGGCACTCTCCCTGTTTATCTGTGTGTGTGCTTATGTGTGTGTGTGTGTGTGTGTGTGTGTGCGAGTGTGTGTGTGTGTAGGTGCATGTGGTTTTCGTTACTCGAAAATTGTAATTCATGCGTGCCAGCAGACGCCAAAGTTTCAACAGAAATCAGTCAATCATAACCAAAAACCAGAAAGAGTAGCTAGTTTGGCATGCCGAATTCGAAATACCCTAACAAACTCTTTGACGAAAACTGTGTGCAGCTTGTAATTGCAGAACTTGGGACAGATAATAATAAACCTAATTCGGATTTTACACGGTTTTGACTTAACACGGTTTGAAAATAAAAAAATTTAAAATTTTGTCATACGATTTTAAAGCATTTAGCACGCTTTTAAATCTTTTGAGCTTACATTTTTTTTATATTTAATTTTTTTGAAATATGTTCATATAAGCAAATTTACTTGTCAGAGCAATTGAACGTGTTAATATCTTGTAAATAACTGTTCTTGTGTAAATACACATTATCTAACTGTAAAATAAATGAATGAATACTGGTTCTTAACAAATCCTTGTTTTTCACTAATTTAAATGGTTGAAGATATTAGGAACCAATCAACTATTTTTACATACGATCAATGTCAATTTTTACATGGTTTTTTCTGAAACCAGTCTACCGAAAATAGAATTAGCTGTATATTCATTCAAAAACAAATGTGTGTGCCTCCGATAAAGCTATCTGATATAACTGTTGACTTTATAGGATCGGAGCTGTCGTCTGCTAAAGGCGTTACATATCTCACGACACAATTTAAATGCCCTCTGTTAGGGCACATAAGGCGAAGAAGAATAGCGCAGCAGCAGAAGACGGGGCTAGTTTGTTTGCTGCGCCCGTGTGCTGCAAGGCTGCAAGTGCGTGCTGCGCCGCATGCAACGCTGCACACAGCGCCCCGCCCGCCGTACGCCGGGCTCCTCCGCCCCATCTCCTGGGCAGTTCAGAAGCAAAGGCTACTCCTTGGCCATGGCTTAGGCCGCGTATTTGCAGTTTGCTTTGTTTGTTCGCGCTAAGTGGGAGGTTTCAACACATTTGGGCTTAGGCCCTACCTGACCTACCTTGGCGCTCGGCCTATTTGCTTTTTGGCGTACATTGACCAGCTATGTAAGCCCCCTCGCCACACCCTCGCCTAATCATCGCTTTGAATTTGCGCTAATGACTGTGCCCAATTGCCTGGCCCTGTGGCTGGGTAGCTTGCAAACTCGCATTGAGTGTCAGGAGAAACGTATTCATAAAACGTTTTGGCATCCCAAATGTATGAAAGAGTCATTTCTTGTCCCCCGACGTGCCATAAAAATTATGCATGAATGTATTTGCCACATTCTACATACTCGCACAAGTGCTCCCATTCATATTGCTGCCCAAATAAAAACGTTGCCCTCGACTGGCCCAAAAAAAAAATGGGTAAAAGAGGAGACGAATGCAGCGTCGCATTTTTACGGCTCCATTCATGTGACGACGGAAGTGTCAAGTGGCTGTTGGCAACTCGTCGTCGACAACCAACTCTCATCCTGCGCGTCCTTTTCGTCAACGTCGCCGTCGCCGTCGTCGTCCTCGCTGCTCTGCATCGAAAATGCCGTTATTGTTACCAGTTGTCTACAATGTCCCCCCCGCCGCTAGCATGCACACACGCACACACACCTCACCCTCCCACACACACACACACACGTGTCTACGTGTGCCAAGTTGCATTCTGGTCTGCGCCTGGCGCTGGGTCGCCTCTGCGTTGGCGTCTGCCGTTGAGTGGCAAACTTTTTTACGTATGCTATCGTATCGTACGTCTAAGTATGTGTTTTTCATTTTTTTTGTTTTGTATGTTTTTTTTTTTGCATGCCCTGCACCATTTTCGTATGCCCTTCATTTGGGTAGCTTTGTTCTTTTTGGTACAGTTGTGTCTGTGGGCTTAAGTGACTGTAAATGCACGAATAAGCAGCGACAATGTGCTTACACGAAATGTATGTGTATTCACTCTTGGATGCAAAAGTGATTTATTTTGTATCCTGACTGACTGCCTGATTGACTGACTGAGTAAACGGTGATCAACGATATGCAATGGGTATTTCGTTACATGAAATATATATGTTTAACCTTGGTGCGATAGGATTTTATATTATATCCTGACTGGCAGCCTGACTTACTGACTGCCTGATTGATTGACTGATTGAACTATAATCAACAATGCAATGGACATTTCCTGACCAACTGCCTGATTGACTGACTAACGGAACGTTGATACTCTTTTGGTACCAAAGACATTTATTTTGTATACTGATTGACCGTCTGATTGACCGACGACTGCTTGATTGACTGATTGAACTGTGATCAACGTTAAGCAATCGACATTTTGTTTGCATGAAATATATATATTCACTCTTGGTGCAATAGGGTTTTATATTATATCCTGAATGACTGCCTGATTGATTGACTGATTGAACGGCGAGCATTGTAAATCATTAGAAATTTTCTTACTATCTGTTTGAGCTAAAGTGATTTAGTTTTATCCTGACTGATTGTGTTATGGGATGCAGGTGTACGCCTAAACGGGCGAGAAATTTTCTTGTTTTACTTTCCTCTTCTAAAATTTTTTGGAAAGAAGTTTCACAGTTTTCGGAAATTCCAACCCGAAGTTCTTTTAACCGCTTCTGATTATCTTGGATCAAATGCAAGCTCCATTGCAATGCAAATCGCTTGAAACTCAATTCATCATATTCAATTGCGGGTCTCCGGTTAAAATTCCATGACAACTGTGCAATTTGTGTTGACGACTTGATTGTCCTGGCCCGGGCAGCCCCACAAAGCGACACCT